TATACCTGCACAGCTCACTCTCTCATCTCCTCCCCTACCTCCCCTCACCACCCCATTTGAAATAGTAAACCTCCCACCTCCCCAACAGGCCTCGTCCTGATCCATTTTTTCCTATTGCACTTACCACCTTCTAACAAACCATATAATTTACTGGGTCACATTTATTTTTGCCTGACTTGCCTACAAAGGCTGACATGTTTGTCGCTTTTGCTCACTAATGTTTCCCTCATGCCTATAACTGGGTCTAAGATACCCAAGAGATGAGTGGATGAATCACGTCTTCAACTGCTCTATTACTACACAGTAGTCCCTGCTTATCCGTGGGGAGTATGTTCCCAGACCCCCCAGGGGATGCTTGAAACCGTGGATAGTACCAAACCCTATCTAGACCGTATTTTCTCCTACACATCCATACCTATGATAAAGTTCAATTTATAAAGTAGGTGCAGTGAGATGTTAACTTTAACAAAGATACACTGTAATGGAAGTAATGTGGTCTCTCTCTCTCTCTCAAAATACCTCACTGTACTGTACTCACCCTTCATGTGAGATGACAAAACACCAATGTGACCAGGGGAGGGGAAGAGAATGATGTAGGCGTTGTGATGTGACCGTAGGGTACCACTGACCTCACAGTGTGTCAGGAGGGTCATCAAGCTACGACGACACCCATGCTTGACTGTCAGAAGCACACAGCCTAAATAGTTGGGGACATTGAGTATTTGTGGACTGTTGCTGACCCAAGTAACCGAAACTTGGGTAAGTGAAAACGAGGACAAGAGGAGACTCCTGGGCTGCAGGACTGTCCTGGGCCTTCTCAGGTCACTTGTATTCACCTTACAACATGCATGGGCAGGAAGTGAAATTCAAAGCCACAGCACCTTTCCTCAGGTTCCTACATCTGTAATTACAACTCTATGAAGAATAAAAAGCTATTGGTTCTCAAATGCAATTTCGTTCTGGAGGGCAGGAAGAAAGGGAGGGTTCTTTTCATTTGTTGGTGCCCCAACTGCCCTGACTGATGAAACCTAGAAACTCATTCTAGCGGGGCAATGCTGAAATGATGAAGAGCTAAGGTCAATGGATCACCCTTAACTTCTGAGGAAACTGGTAATGTCTACAGCCGGTGCCCCCCAACAGGGCCATGGGCATGAGGAACTGAAAGCGCATTCAGTTGAGGAAAGTGCATTCAGTTGAGAAAATGAAACCACGTGACATTGTCTTTTCCCAAACAAAACAGCAAGGACTGCTACACCCTGCAAATGTGCTTCTTCTCTTCAGGAAACACTGTGCATAAAGTTAAAAGTAGGAATGATTTGGCAGGTGTGTTTTTCACAAATGTCACCGCCCTCCCCAGGTAAAATATGTTCAGAAGGACATCAACCAGGATTTTGGTACATATTCTCTCCCTATTCTCCTAACTCCAGACATGGATGTCCATTTAAAGATGAAGCTAAGGCTTACCTGTTACATGGGCTTAGCCAAGTTCAAAGGCTTAGAAGTGGTAGACTGGGATCAAACCTCAGTTTAAACTTCAAAGTCCATCTGCTTCACCTGGCACTGAAATTGAAGTATTCTCGCAGTTTGAGATTGTACAAATTTTTAGGTAGTCTTTCCGTGAAGTTTGTGACTGGGAAGTCTGAACTACTATTTTGATGACCTCTTTCTTGCTTTCTGGGTAGCTATGGATTCATTTTCCTCCAGAATGACTGTTCTTTAGTATGTAATCTTACTTCTTCAAATGCTACAATTCTTAAGTAAACATCCAAATGAATGCACCCCCTCTCGGACCCCCACCTCCCCCCTCCCCACCCCCCACCATTTCCCCAATAGCTAGAGCCTGCCTTCAAAATACTCATCAGACAACTGGTCGCAGAGCCAGCAGATGGAGCCTTAAGGCTGGCAACACTGAGTACCACCAACGTTCTAATCCTGTACCTATTTCCTAACCATCTTCACATTTCACTACTTGATTCTCTCACCACTATTGTGGTAGAGGGAAAATTGTCATAAAAAGTAGAAATCTGTTGTCAATAATCCAAGGTCAAGTGATCCCTCCTCAAAATCTCACCTCCCCTCAGAAGAATCAAAGCAACCACATGAGCACCAAAGAATTACTTGATGGCCCCAGAAAATTTTCACAGTATATGAGAAAATTATCATGTACAGGGTAGTTCTATTTTTGTATAAAATAAAAAATCAAGAGTATGTCTTATGCATACAGACATGGCAGTGAGCACAAGAGATTTCAATAGCACATATACCACCAAATAAGGTGCCTGTGGGGTGTGCATCAAATGAACAGGAAAAACTTCACTTCTTGCTTAGTATTTGTTTTTTAATGTATTACAGGTGATTTGTCACCTACAGTATTAACAAAATCTTTTCTCCACCTTTCAGTCCTTTTAGAACACAGCCAAGACAGAGCTTTCATCTTGAGTTAGGGACATTACTCATCTGTATTTGAAACTTTTAGATTCAAACCCTGGGAGGTATGTAGCCAAGTTTGGGGTTTGTGAGCCTGAGATACCCGACACCTTTTCTACATCTCATGGTACTGAGCTCTACAGAGGCTGCAGCCCCCTTCCCAAGCTCTTTTACACACACCTTTGGGGACTTCCACCTGGTCCACTGCTAGCTTGAGCTGGGATGAACCCAGAAAGTCACAAAGCTACAAGAAGCATAGTACTGGGTTGGCCAAAAACTGTTTAGTTTTCTGGGTTGTTTTTTTTTTCCAGAAAATAAGACATATTTTTCATTTTCACCAGTAACTTTATTGATTTGGGCATTCTGAGTATGTCAGCTATCTCCCACATGATCGAACATTGATTGTTAATTTGGGGGGCCATAAGACGCACCTAGGTTTTAGAGAAAAATAGAAAAAAGGTTTTGCAGCAAAAAAATGTGGTAAAATACTTCACAACATAAATAACATAGTATTTCACCAATGTAAATGTAAAGCTACATTCGGACTATAAGATGCACCCCTATTTTCCTCCCAAATTTGCAGAGTGCATCTTATAGTCCAAAAAATATGGTAATGTCTCGATTTGATCACTATCAATTTTAACTGGTCTACCTACCAATCGTGGAGCATCGTCCAGTGAGGAATATACAGCATGAAACTTCACAGACCACTTTCAACATGTTCGGTCAGTTACAGAACCTTTTCCATACACTGCAGAAATCTTTTTTTGCACGTTACCTTTCTTGAAATAATAAATAATATGCCAAAAATGTTACATATTTCCTTCCACCTGCAGTATTAAAATGGCTACACAAAAATTCACCAATTTGATGTTTTTGTTAAATGCACAGACATGACAGCTGTCACAATACAATCTAATAAAATTGTTTTGAATGAAGTTAAAGACAACTAAGCAATACCAGAGCCATCGCACAAAAAAAACTAAACTTTTTGGACAACCCAATAGTTATGTTAACCTAAAATATGTCAACGGTAGATCAATTCCTCAGCCTGAACTCCAGCAAACTGCAAATGTGCAGGAAAACAACCCTAGGGTCTAACGGAAGACTTAGAGGCAGTGTCAATCCTGTCCTGCTTGTTGGGACAGCCCTAATTTAGCTTTGTTTTCCCAGAAGCCAGCTGCAAGTTCTCCCTATGTGAGAGGCTCCAGACTGAAAGAGAGTGAGACAGAACCGGACCGGCACACCCTGGCCAAGGGGGGTGGGGGTGGGGAAGTGCTGCGGGAACACAGCTGCCAGCCCTCCAGGCTGATTTTCAACACCACCCCCAACTATGACACAGATGGAAAAACACTCAGGTGCACAGAGCCATTCTGGTCAAAGTACAGGAATCCAGGCCATGAATGAAACTGCTGAGCCCCAAAGTGCCTGCAACAGACACAGCAACCCATGCTGGCAGACAGGCAGCTGGTCAGTGAGTGGATCCCCCCAGTTAAAAGACTCAACTGCAGAGATGACTTTCTGAAAGGCCAATGTGAATACTTACAGAGTGCCCACTAACAGCATCCGTGTTTTCTGAAATTCTACAGCATATTTTAATAGGTCCTTAACCAAGACAAACTTTTTCCTTAATCCCATGATAATAAAGCAATGCAATTAACACCAACAGCACTCATACCTACAAGGGTAGCCCCTAGCCTGTCCAATTCTGAAGTACTGGGTTGGCCAAAAAGTCCATTTTTTTCATATGATGGCTCTAGTAGTGCTTGTCTTTAAACTCATCCAAAACAATTTTGTTAAGATTGTATTGTGACAGCTATAACATCTGTGTGCATTTTTTTAAAAAACTTATCAAAACTGATGAATTTTTGAGCAGCTATTTTAAATTGAAGATGGAAGTAAATACTCAACATTTTCTGCATATTATGTTGTATTATTTCAAGGAAGGTAAAAATGCAACTGAAACAAAAAAAAGATTTATACAGTGATGGAGAAGGTACTGTGATGGATCAAATGTGTCAAAAGTGGTTTGTGAAGTTTCTCAGTACTATTGACATTCTGAGCAAATAATTCTTTGCTGTGGGGCTGTCTTATGCAGTGGAAGATGGTTAGCAGCACCCGCGGCCTCTACCCATTGGAAGCCAGTAGTGGGAGACAGCCGACATACTCAGAATACCCAAATCAATACAGTTACTGGTGACAAGAAAAAATACTTATTTTATGGAAAAAAACCACAGACTTTTTGGCCAACCCTAGAAATAACTAAAGCAAGTTCCGCTCAGGGTTCTCTGAAAATATAACCCTCAAAGGTGAAATGCACTGTTCAAATCTACAATACACTTGTTCACTGAAGCAACAACGCCGGGTGATCTTTGAGAAATACATACATAAGGCATGCTCAAGAGCAGGGTCACAAATGAATTGTCCCTTCCACAAAAGTAAATTACTTGTCTTAACTGGGAAGATAAATCGTTTGTCATGAAATATTTCTTTGTAAAAACATACCATGTAATGTAGATCACTAAAAGATTATACCACAGAAATGTACTACACCGGTTTTCAGTCAACAGTTTTGAGTTTGTCTTTAATCCCTTTTATTGTTTCTTGCTTAACAATGTTCAGAATCTTCCAGCTGAAACCAAAGTGCTTTCTGGGAATTCTCTATAAAAGCATATCTTCTTTGGAGAAAACATTCTTTCCAACAAGAAATACTAAGAAATCCAATGGTCTAGATTTCACAACTCGTTTAAAAAAAAAAGAAAGAAAAAAGCTATGTGTCTTTAATTTCATTTAGAATCGCTATTATACAACAAGCTTTTTATTTTTTCATTCATAAAAACAGTCCACAGCATTCATAAAACAGGGTGGTAGAAGAAATAAAGAGAGACACTTTTCAGGTGGATTTTTTATGTTTAAGAACAGATGAGTTGGTAGCAATTGAATACAGATGGAAACAGATACAATCCATACAAAAACAGGAGTTGAAAGGGGGAGAAGAGTTACCAACCCAGGTAAAGTTAGAGCTTTCAGGCATGCAACTCAACCTCTGAGTTTTCTTCACTTAAAAACCAAAATCGGTGCTTTATTACGTGTTTATAAAGAGGCTACAAAAGTACTGCAAAAATGTTAGCCTTACGTGTACCACAAAAAAAGAGAGAAAGAAATTAATAAATCCCCAGCTACACCCAGGCTAATCACAAATTCTCCCTAACCAAGACAGACAGAGAAAAATAACTTTTTACAAGCTGGGCTTCAAGGTACAAACAATGCCTTTGAGCTCTCACTTGGGTGATTCCTGCTCATGCTCTTTTCAATATAAACAAGTGATTTATGTAATGGAATACATATTTGAAGAATTCCTTAAAAAAGAATCACAAGTTTCATTTTATATATACAACAAACTTTTAATTATGTACTGAAAATAAATTACAGGAAATAACCTTAAAATGCAACAGAGGACGAAGTCACAATAAACATTCCCATTGAATTCCCTTGGGGGGTGAGACTGCAGTGCTCAGGGAAGATAAATATCACAAATATATCAAAAACCTCAAATAGTCTATGCATTCACACACTGACATGAGCCACAAACACTCCTTCACAGGGACTGTACTGATTAGCCTACCACAGAACCGGGTTTTGCCATAAACTACAAAACTTTTAATACAAAATTGCTATTTATATATTTATAATTCATATACATGCCCTATCTGTGACTTTAGAAAATAAAAGCTACACACTGTACAGACACTCTTAACTCATAGCTGTAGGCAACGTTTTTGGATGGAATTTCTCCCCCAATAAGATTAATGGCATATTTTATGTACATGAAGACTAAACTGCATAATGACAGTTCAGTTTCCCAGATATGCATCTCCTTGTAGGGCAGGTTTAAAAATTTAAAAAGGCAAGAATAATGTACACCTCAAAATCACTTCCTTAGCTACGAGAGTTGCCACGTAATTTCCGGGGAGTTCTGATACATGCATTTGTGTAATACTGGTATCGAAGGCAGTAAAGCAGTATGTACTTTTAATGTAGTGGCTCAAGAAAGGCTTCATTGTCATTCCAGTCTGATTCTTTACAGTGATTCGTAACTTCTCTAAAAATTAAAATTCAATGGGACGCTGTTAAAAGACTCTAAATAGATTTCTTAAAATATTTTCCCTGAAATATCCTTTTACATAAGACAAAATTCACTGACATTAGATTAAGTAAAAAGGAAACGAATTAAAAACATGGCACAAATGTGCGTGATAAACTACTGCTCCTCAGCCAATCTCCATGCCTTAGGAGCCATGAACAGAATGCTTAAAACCAACCAACAATTTTCACACTCTGTGGCAGCCATCTGTGAAGCCAGTTGTACTAAACTACTTCTACAGTTGATTGTAAACTTTGGTTTATTCGTGTCTGAGTTCTCATTATACAGCAAGCGTGAAAAGGGGAGAGGAGTCCATGAGGAGATGACTGTCAGTCTGTCTTTAATCTGGCTTGATGAGACACCTGGTCAGTCAGGCCTGCTTTGATGGAGTTTGTTACAGACTGCCTTACGTTTTCCTCCATCAAATTATCACCCAGGGGCTTCAACACCTGTGGTATGAGAAATGTGCAAAACAAATAAAAACATGAGGTAAAAAAAGAGTTACATATAAAAATAGATACAAAAATTCAATTCAAAGCAATGAAGAAAATAACCAGGAATGTGGGAAATTAAAAGATGCTTCTCCCAAAAACAAAAGTCATGATGCTACAAATAATGCAGTTAGACATTTTATAACGCAACAAAAACCACGTTCCTCTTAGTCAAACCATTCACACTCCCTATGAGACGGATGTGCAATTCCATACCCTATGTGCAGCATCAAATCTGGTATGTACACAGCATTTATGCAGACCGGCCCAGTCGGTCCTGCTTATTGTCCTACATGTGTAAGTGTGAACACTTCAGAGAGAGAAAAAAGTGTAAAATACTAATTTTTCTTCTTGTTATTGTTGGACGACAGTCTCTGTCGCTGTGCTGATGAAAGAGCACGATGGACCATTCGACGTCTAGTAACTTCAAACACTTTGGAAAACACCTAAAACACGGAGTGATTTGTTAGGAGAATGGCTCAGATTGTTTAAGACTACAAGAATTTGAGACTTTGTAGGTTTCTCACCTTCCTGGGACTCCTCTGAAGCAAAAGAGAATGCAAAAAAAAAATTTAGACAAAGTATGTTGACACAGCACAGACCTCCTCTGACTAGTGATCACCTTACCTCAACTACCCTGAAAATATTCCACACACTTTAGATTCTCCCATTCAACTGTCTTGTAATGATGGTACCTCTCAAATCCTAGAATCAGTGCTGTACTGGAGATGACGGTTTTCACAGGAAGACACTGGACAATTATTGAAATTCATGTTGCAGAAAATGAATAATGGTGCAAAATTTTCAGGTGGATAATACTTTTTTAAAAAGTGAGGTTGTAATAGCTTTTAATCCATCTTCTACTAGAAGGTACCAAAGGAATGTGAAGAGTGACATTTTTGAGATAAAAATTTAAATATAACAAATATCCAAACAGAAGCTTCCAAATTAGATCTGAATAAAAATGAGCATTTCTCTAAAGAATAAATACTAAATTCAAATTCATATGTGGGTCACTTTATAAAATAATAATGATATTATTACAAGAAGAGCCAACATTCAACTGAACTTCCAAACTTTCTTCAAAAATGGTTGGCTTCCTCAGTCTTTGAATTTAAAGCCAAAACCAACACAGACCTGCATATTCTAGACCTTCAAATAAGCCCAATACTTCAACAGCCCAAAAATGGTATCTGAAAATGCCTATTTTACTGTCCATCAGTAATAACTGTAAGCTTTCATCCTGGTCCTTGATATGATGGCTCAAATATTTCATGACGACCATTTTAATGATAACATCCTTAAATGGAATTTTTTGTACACAGGCAATTCCAACCCACAGTTGGCCAATAAGCAACATGGCTTTCCTTAGCAGGTATTTGTCAGGCTCAACTTTGATTTCTGGTTTAAGGTAAAAAAAATTATGATATGAATTCTGGTTAAAGTAAAGGTTACGATTAAGAGTTGGTCTCTGTAGTGCTTTGCTTTGTTCACTAGCATTTCCATAGTACACAGAGCAAACAAAGTTTTTTGGTGTAAAGAAATCCCTACTTGATTGTTCCTTGTAGTGCACCAGTAACTCACTACCATCTTTATGAAAGGCAGCGAAGACCTGAATACCATCTACTACTTTTCCTGCAAAACAAGCATGCATTGCTTCTTGACAGTTATTAGTAAGAAACTTTTCTTGCTTTCCTAAAGCACTGAACTTCCAAACTTCTTTTCCTTACCTTCTTAACCCTCTCACCAATTATATATTCTTCTCTTAGGAAAATATCCTGAGAGACAAACGGGCCCTGCCCACTGTTTGGTAGAGTCATGTCTATGATTAAGAATCTGTGCAAAGGATATTAGAGATTTCAGCCAACCAAAGCACTCTATAGTTACAACTTTAAGGGAAAAAACACTCTCCTGTTCACACTTTATATTCAGATTATACAACCAAACAAAACAGAAAACCCTTTTGATAGTCCTCATAAAAAGGAACAGTGGGAATGCAAATACTGTGTGGGGCGGGGGGGGAGCCGCAGGGATTAGTCACTGAAAAACCAAGAGACAGATACCAACCTGTTCCCACAGTATCTCAGCAATCTGATCAATCATTGTTCCAATCTCTCTGAACTCCCCAGAGTATTTAACATATGCCCAAGTACAAAGAGAGGTCAGTGCCAGCCCCATGACCAGGTTGCACAGGACGGCTATGGAGGTCAGGCCAATGAATCCAGTCAGTCCTGAGATTATATACATAGCAAACATGACAGCGAACAGTGTGGCAGGGGTACGAGCAGCATAGAAGATATTTTTCCCATCATTGTGCTTTATAAAATTTGCATAGGTTTCTTCGATTTCGGCCTCAAGCTGGTCCTGATAACGACGGCAGAATTCATCTCCACCCATTTTTTTTACTGAACGAAACTGTTTAATCGCCACTTGCTTAAAATCCAGGTGTTTTCTCTCGAGATCTGAAGGTGCAATGTAAGGCTTGTCGCCACCACATACCTGTATGGACACAATCACGGTGCGGCAGGTTACATGCCAGCAATAAGTGACACTTGAAAATTCCCTTCTCATAGCGTTTAGTCCCAAAAAGTCAAACCACCTACATGGTTCGGTTTTAAACCACAACACATAACCATAAACTATTTGTTGATAACCTATGTTTAACAGAGGCAGGCAAAATAAGTTTTCCAAGTATGACTAATACAAGTAAAAACCAAGAATGATTACACCTCAATCTGCACCTGACTTCGCTTAACCCACCAATTAGCATAAAAGTACAAAAGACTGCTGGCAAGAGTCAGTAAAACGTAATAAATAAAAAGGTACCTTAATGTTCAAGTTAGCAACCTTAGCATAGAAATTGCTACTGGCCTTAAGCTAATATTAATTACATCAGAAGCTACTAATAAAGAGCACCTGAATCACCTGCCAGAAAATATTTCAGTATGGTTTATAAAAACACTGACTACCCATATCCTATACTCTGTGTGAATTATTTTCTTTGTTTACTTCTAGCAGAGATGATAGAGAAGAATTAAGAAATGATATAACATAACAATGCATTAGAAGTAAAAACTATTTCAATTATTTTAAACAATAAAAATCTTCTATCTCACTCTAGTGTCAAATTTAAATCTTAGTTACAAACCTGTTCCATACTTTTGGAATAAATCTCTCTTGCTCCTGCTACTGCAGCAAGATTATTAGCTTCAGCTGTTGCCTAAAAAAATAAAATATGTGCCAATATTATGCAAAAAAATAACCGACGATTCCATAAATCCTGATTAACACAGTAACTTATCTACAACAAACAAGTCTGAAATGAACCACAAAAAATATTACCAACTTCTGGTTTTCCTTTCCAATGGAAGGAAACACCAGTATAAAAGATAATAGTAAATTTTTCTAATAAGACTGCCCACCTAATTTTGTTTTGCTTAGGTTTGTTAAAATGGGTATAGAGAAAATACCACATTTGCTCAGGAAATTAAATAGATACAACACTAAAATGTGTCAAGTCTCCAGATGTAAAGAGTGAAGTATTACCTATATGGTTCTTTATCAATATTACACGAGATACTTTTAAATGCACAACATTGCCTATTTAGGGTGAGTATTATGAGAAAATACTGTTTAACACACTATAAAACTGAGCAATTGCCTAAGGTAACATTAGAAGCAGCTCTAAATCACTAATACAAAGAGAAAACGATCCTTATTTCAGACAACATTCACTGTCAAAGATTCAGCGATACAGAAACGCTTGGTTCCGGGAGGCCCATGTTCCTCTATCTCCTGCAACAGAAATTTTCCTACACTTTCTGGGCAACTGAAGAGAAGGTACCGAGGACTCTTATTTCTGGTGGCCTATGTGTAAGCAAGGTCTGTGATCTGTAGTTAGAAATAAATCACATGAAACCTTCAGGACCCAGTGTGCAGATGTTGTGTTGCAAAACTGTGCACCTGAAACCTGTATAATTTTGTTAAACATTGTCACCCCAATATATTCAATAAAAAGGAGAGAAAAAAAACCTTCAGGAACCATGGATGTATTGCCTTAAATATCTAAAATTTATGTGCGTGCGAAAAAGCACCACCCCGTTTCCAGCCCTTATCTTGAAATCAAAGATTTCTTTCCTTCTTCATAAATAATGTACAACGCACACAGTACCTGAAGCATGGACTTTGGATGTGGAAGTTCCTCTCCTTGATAAATTTTAATGTAAGCCTGAAAATACAGAGGACTCATTATATTGGTAAATTATGCAATTTGGCTCGATAATCCCAAAAAGGAGAAATGACTAAATATAAAATTATTCACTCTATTAAAAGAAAAATCTAGGCTTTAAAAATCGCCCACTCTCATCCCAACAAACTTAACCCCATGCTCAACATTATTAAATACACAGGTTGCTAAATAATATCCTAGAGAAGTATTTCTAAATATAATTCTAATATACATTAAAGTTTTATCTCATTTAAGTTATATATAAAAATGTCATTTACTTTATGAAAAAAATCCATAAGTCTCTCCTACTGCCAACGTTTAATTATGTTAGAAAACATTGTAATTCAGTATTTTACTTTGACCAGCCCTAATTATACTTTGGTTTAAGAAAAAGAATTATAAATTGTGGTTTAAGGGTAAGAAGGCAAGACTGGGGTTTTATGAAGTCCATAAGGAATCTTTCAACTTTCTAGTGACTCTAAATTAATTTCATAACTAAACAAAGACAGTAGATGTAAAAAGAATCAAGTGTCTGTAAAATGGTCACAAATACACCCTCAGTTAACTGTTCTCCCTCCCACCTATCCATAGCTACTATGAATAAATACAACCCTCTGATGGTCTTGCTTTGCCAATCAAGCTATAAAAAGGAAAAGAGCAGAGATAAAAAAAATCTATGAGTAATTTACTTAAGCCCAGAAATCAGTTTTGATACTTTCAGCTGCTCTTATCAAGTCCTCAGAACTCTAGAGGAGGCTTTTGTGAGCACTCAAGACGGAGAATTATGCTCCTGATCCCCACCACAGCGGTGTTACAATAATGTGGTGAGTAGCTCCTGTCTCCGTGTCGGAGCTGGAGAATGAGTAGGGTCATTCTGTACCAAAATCACTGTCTAGAAGATACAAATTGTCTGCCAGAATCTTAAATATCCTTAAATATTGGCACACCCAATTCAAGGCAGAAAAATAAATGATGTTACACTTTTGCTTTAAAACAATTTCTTGTACACATAAATGAGTTTTAAGTGAGCTGCATTTCTAACTTAAAATTCCTTAATGTAAGAGTTTTCCTACCTTAAAGTATTCCACAAGAGCTCTACAAGTGACTTTAGATCCACTTATCTCTTTTTCTACCAAATTTTCAGGGGCAAGCAGCAATGGAACCAGATTTCGAAGTTCTCGTTTAAAGTCTTCATCAATATCTAGTTGACATGAAATTAGTCAACATATTAGTCCCAAAAAAGTGATGAAATCCCCATTGGTAAGAGTTCATAAAATTCTGTTTCGTGAAATAAGAGTTCATAGTATCTATTACTTAAGTAGATGCACTTTAAAAACTCACCCAAACATGTCATTATCTCCTAAAAATAAATATAATCCCCCCCCCAGAATTCTTTCAGCTCAAAGAATAAATGAACCAAATTGTGGACTATCCAAATAAATCCCACATTAAGTACTAACTATCCCTTTTGGAAGGCAAATAATTCATGAAATTGTATTAAATTTTAATATTAGATTGTTTTCCCAGCCATACATTATAAGTTTTACCTATCCTCAAGCCTTTTACCATCCTTCTCAAGATAATCCAAAAACAATCACAAAAAATTATACTATCACCAAAAAACAGAGAGGCTTAAATATGGTCAAAGCAATATAATACAATGATAAAGCTTTTTAGCAGAGAGTAATCAGATAAAATACTGAAATGTTCTTTGCCTTCAGAATTTTTAGGACATCGGAGCTGAGCAACAAACTGACCACATTATAAATTATAAAATGTTAATCAATACGCTGGCTGTTTGCAAATGTTAATCAATAGGGGAGCTACAAAGACCACAGAGAGCACTTCAGCCAATCACATCATTAAGGATGCCATCAAAATGTCCTCCAGTATAAGACGTAAACTTTAAGAAACCATGTAGTTTTTAAAAGCTTTCAGCCCCTAAAAAAATAAGTTCTGATTTTAGCAAGAATGGGAATTCCCACCTTTCAATCTCCCATCAAAATTAGGATTAGTTGCAACTTTAAGACCAGGATGTGGCAAAAGGAAGCAACCAAGATTTGAGAAACAACTGTGAATGTGCTTCCTTACATTCTGCAGCTCTTCATGTTGATTCTGTTTTACCTGAGGGCAGAAGGAGACAGAGTGAAGGTGCAAATGGGAGGAGAAAAAAACTTGAAAGAAAACACATACATATTCACATGCATGCACACTTAACTCAGATGCTATTCCGATAGGTGTCTGACAATGTAGAATTTTACTAGACCCATTTCTGACCACTTTGGTAGGATCCCACTTTATCTTAAACTAGAAAAGATGTTTTTCCCCTTAGCTGCCAAAGATGAGAAAAATAAATATTAATAACTAATCATGGTATCTAACACCAGAATAACAAGTCGTGGTTGTGATTTACTGGTCAGGTAATAAATTGTAATAAATTAAGAATTTGCCTTTAAAATACTTACAATGGCAAAGAGACAAAGTATTAACCTGCCCACAAATAGAAAGGTCAGCCCTGTGCAAAATAATAGCTGAGGCAAACCGCTCCAGTGCAATCCAAAGAACCTTAGAAATCTGTCAGGATTTCAGCACTCACTCCCAATGATGATGATTAATGCTAACGCTAAATATCAGTGTTTGGGGAAGAGAGACTGCTGTGTATTTTCTGGAAGAAAACCTTAACTTTAGATTTTTAATAACTATCACAATATAACTCATATACTCTCCCAAAGATTATTCTCAAAAATCATTCTAAAAAATACCAAAAATACACCATTCATAATCAGCGAAACTGGAAACTGCCTAAATCTCCATTTAGAGTAGAACTGAAAAATCATTGCCTATTCATAAATGGAATAAAGGCACAGCAGTGAGCATAAATGAACTAAACTACATGCAACATTATGGATTAATCTCAAACATAATACTGAACAAAAGAAGCTAGATACAAATACATACACACTGTATGATTCTTTCCATAAAAAGTACAAAAACAAAGCCCGTTAGAGGTCAGGATAGAGGTAGAGAGGTTGGGTGGGGTGGTCGGTGGATGGAGGTGGGCGTTTCTGGAAGCTGGTCATGTGGCTATGTTTAATTTGCACAAATTCATCAAACTGCACACTTATAATTGAGCATTTTGGCATATCACGTCAATAAGACATTAAAAATCCTTTTTGGCCTCAAAGTATGTAGTTCTGAGTTTAGGTGATATGCCTGATGTGCTATGTGTTAATTCCTTCTGAAGAGTAGGGTCTGCAAATGCCTTTCAGATACTCCAAGACTGAGGAACTGGTTTTTAATCTCATTTTAGGAATATTGTACTCGAAGTTTTTGAATGCAGTTGGTCAACTAAATGCGTCACCACATAGGCAAACAAAATTTTATTAACAAAAAGAGAGAATACCCCTACTTATGAATAACAAGACCTTTATGTATCTTTAGTGTATGTGAGTAGATGAGTAGTAGCTGACCAGAGGGTTTCCCAAGTAATTCCATGGGAATAAAGGATCATGTTGGTGAGATTATTTTTGAGGAAAGCCTTGGTGTGGCAGGCATACTGCATGGGCCCGGAGTCTGGATATTTGGGTTCTAGTCCAGTTACCAATAATTACTTAAGGGACCAAAGGCAAGTCACTTTTATGGGTTCCAGTTTTGTTACATAGAACTTAAAAAAAAAAAGGCTGAACTAGATATTTAAAATCCCTTTTCTAGCTCTATATGCTCTCTACGAGATAGTATTCCTTGGAGAGAGGACCTTACATCCTCTGTGCTCAGTAAGTGCACATTATACGAGGGGGGCCTGAAAAACCAGTATTATCTTCTGCAGGACAGGCCCCTTGTAGTTCAGGCTCCCCTGCTCGGTGAGTGTTCTAGGAACCCATCTGTATCACTGTACCAGCTGGCGTTGTTGGGAGAGGCTGTGTCGACTTCAGCGAATTTTTTTTGAAGACTCTTTCTACACCTTTGTCCATTTCTAGATGGGTGATTTACTAGCGTACCTGCCCACACCACACTGAGTACTTAGCAGTTTTTGAACAAAAATGGCATGACACCCCCCTTCATGCCCCTCCATGCACTTGATTTCACTCTGGGAGACGCTTTTTGTTTCCCCAGATGAAAAAGGTCCTCAAAGGGAAATGTTTTGCCAATGTGGAAAATGGTGAAACAAAAAACACTAAAACAAGAAGCACTAAAAAACATCAAAATCAATGAGTTCAAAAACTGTTTTGAGCAATGGAAAAAAACATCTCAAGGTCTACTGCATCATACGGAGAATACTCTGAGGATGCCTGAAATGTAAAGATGTAAGAATACACACACATTTTTTAAATTTTTTCACACATTTTTATAAATAAACTCCATTTTTTCAGGGGGTCCCCCCTAAATGTTTAGAAGCTCAGCCAGGCCAGAGAGGAACATGCAACCTCAGTAGCTCAAAGTTAGTCTCCTTCAAACTTTTAGCCTTTGAGTATTGATTTACCAAGGGGGCAGGTGACTCTGAAGAGAAATATTTGCTCCTTGATTCCTACTTGTGGTCACTGTCCTTGTTCATAAATCACACATGGAGCCATCTAGGCTAACTGGGGTGCTCAGTTTATTGCAATGACACCTAGAGATCAGCAGTCTAAGCAGCCAGCCAGGAAGCCCACCCCTTCTCCCAGCCTGGTACTCATGCTCTCCTCTCTAAGAAATAGGGGCTTACCTGCAATCTCTTCTCAAGGAATTGTTTTCCACCTTCCAAACCATATGAATGCTCGTAAGGATAACTCCAATCTCTAATCAAAAACATTAACGTCTATACACAGGGAAAAAAAGAAATCATTTCTTACAAAGTTTTACCAAAAAAGTCACTACTCTAACAATTGAAGCCTCCCTTATTCCCTTTAACAATCCTTATCAAAAGTTATAGTAACAAAATGGTTAATACTGTTCATAGTTAATAGCAAGGACCTACCTAAACCAACACTTCAGTCCCTAAACCAAGCAACTGCCTCCATATGAGAACCCTGCTGTATACAAAGAGTCATCAACAAGCAATAATACAGGACTTTTAATATTAACAAAAGGCATATCAAAACATACACATCATAATATTGTCAAGGTTATTTAACTAGAAGACCAGCTAACCTAATTCTAGACCAACTAATTCTTTTCACAGAAATTCTGAATATTCATATATGCTTAGGTTTCTCAACCTCAATCGACACTCAGGGCCTCGTAACTCCTAGCTGTGCGTGGCCGTCCTGCGCATTGCGGGACACTGCACAGCATTTCTGGTCTCTAAGCACTAGATGCCAGTAGAATTAACCTCCTCCCCCCAAAATGTGACAACGAAAAACACTGACAAATGTCCCACCGTTAGCAAAATTACCCCAGTTCAGAAAAAATAAACCAACCAAATAGAGTGTATATCAACCATACACACAAAATGAAGCTATAACCTACCCAAAAATTTCATAAAAGTGATCACTTAAGCCAGATAATACTGAGGCAGAATCAACACAAACCCACTAAGAATCAACAGTAATGCCACACAGGAAGGACTTCACGCACTGATGAGCACGCAGGGTGGAGTCATTCTCACCTCCTAGAACACAACTGACCAAAGAGTACTAATGCCAACTTAGAAATTAGCTTTGTTTTTAATTAACCTCTCATTTCTTAATTAACTCAACCAAGGTTCTATCCTGACTCAATATTCTGTACCTAGCATTTAAAAAACACGGTGATATAGGAGCTAGAGTTGGGGGAGAGATAAAATAAATTGTATATGAAACCAAAATGAAGAATAACAGGACTAACCTCAACTAGTAACACACAGAAGAAAACTGTAATATTTTGTGGTAGTTTATAATGTTAAAAGAAATTTAAGTGACCATCTTAAATCTTGGAATTAAATAACATCTAATTAAAAAATTAATCTCTTAATCTAGGTAAAAGTATTAAGAATCAATCTATAGACAACTGTTATATTTCCTATCAAGTTATCCTACTACTGATGAGTTGGTGATAACAGTACCTACCATAAGTCAGTATCAGTTCTGCTGAATCTATTGCTAACAATGAGTTTGTTTTCACATCCTCATGTTTTCAGAGTTACAAGATGAGATGGCTTAATAGTTGTTTGGTTCATAAGTAACTTTTAAGAAATAATAAAATATTTATTTACCTGAAATGGTTTCTGGTAGATTTCTTCCATTGCAAGTCTACCGTACTCTGTAAATAACTATTAAATCAAGTTATTTAAAATAATGCCTCCAAAGAGATTGAAAGAAGACTTCTGTAAAGTTGTTCTACATCAGACCACTAGATGTCAAAGCCTTTAAAAATCATTTGAAAGTTCAGTATTTAAGTTTCTAACAGACTGGGTAAACATTAAAATTTAACAAATAAAAAGTTTAATATACAAGAAGTCAAGAAGTAGTACATCAGTTTAAGTCATGCAGTATTCAATCTTCTAGGGGTAAAGTCACAATAAAGTAGGAATTAAATTTTCAATAATACTTTGGCATGCATCCTTTAAGACATACGTACTTGCAAGTGCTGAAGATCATCTTCCTGAATATTCTGAGACAAATTATATACCTGTTAAAAAATTTGTTTTTATTAGTGTTTTATTTTGAACACCCAGCTGTGTAGAGCTTTACTTGCGGAAATGAAGGCTATCTTATACCTCGCACGAGTGAGTCACTGAGCCACTGGCTCACCTGGTGGCGCGTAAGAAGGATGTCCTCTTTGTTCCTGACAGCAGAGGAGAGTAAGGGAAGCACTGGTGGTAAACTATAAAACCATGAGTACATAAAGGGCCTAAAAATGCAGACACTTTTTAAAAGTGTAGTATATGTAGTAAGTTTCTTTTTCTCCTTTTCAAAGTTACTTTAACGTTATAAAATGGTCTTTTTTTCTTTTTAGTAAAGAATGTTTCCACAATTATTTTTCTAAGTTAATAAAGGTGAGGGGCATAGTTCTACAAAGATATATTCCTCCCTGATACAATCATAGTACCTAGTTTATCGTTATTCAGTGGGTGTTCCAACCACCATCAATTCTAACATGGCTCTCTTTTTACTTAAGTAAACAACATGAAAATTTTACCAGTCTGTGTGGTAAGGGACAAAATAACAGTAGGTGGCACTCTTGCCCTTTCTACAGTGTTTAGGAAGCTGTCCAAGGCACAGAGACCAGAGCTTGTAATGGAAGGTCTAAGTACCCTCAAAGGAGAAAAACCGGAGAAAAGACTCACTAGGCCCAGTCCTTCTAACTCGTGTTTTTAAAAGGTGACCTAAGCCACCACAGGTAAAAAAATGGATATCCACAGATGTCACCTCTGCTAAGAAGTTAGTTATGTCTGAGAAAACAGGGTTACTCCAAAGACAGAACATTTTGTTCTAACAGCAAATGAGTGATAATCTAGCTGAATCACTTGGAGATCAAAAATATAAACAGCCCTGGACAGGCAGCTCAAATGGTTGGAGCACCTCCCGTACACCAAAAGGCCATGGATTCGATTTCAGTCGGGGCACACTCCTAGGGTGCAGGTCGGTTCCCAGCTGTAGTGCTTAAGGGAGGCAAATAAATCAACATTCGTTTCTCTTTCAAATCAATAAACATATCCTCTGGTGAGGATTTGAAAAAAATATATATATATATATCACCAATATAGGTCAGCAAAATTAAAATAATTTTCTCAGCTGACTAACTTCAGAGTATTTAAAAAGTCTTTAATGACTGAATTGATTAAACCCTGGATTTAAACTTAGAACTGAAAACACAACCAACCTATTTTTACCCATATGGACCTTAGCTTTTAGGTAAGAGGCGCAGACCCTCTCACTGTCAGAGCCAGGGTACAAAGAGCAATGAGAAAGAGGATTTGTTTATTTAGGTCATCAGTAGTTAACACAGTGTACTATACTTCATAGATGCTCACTAATTATTTGTTGAAAGAATAAATGATCAGAGGATCAATATGTCATTGATCTACCAGCCAGGCAGTTATGTAAGGAAGGTCAGAAATCTAGCTTCAAATGCAGCAAAGAAAGCAATAATAAAAAATAACTTTGATCTTCTTGAATACTGATAGTTTACAAAGCACTTTCTTACACACTCTCTCATTTGGATCTCCTAGCTGATTATACACAACCATATGTGAGACAGGCAAGATGGGTAAAATCCTCGTTTTACACATAACAAGGAGTATGTAATGAGAGCAGATGAGTGGCCACAAGTGGTCGGTTGTCCAAATCCAGGCCTTCTACTAACATAAAGTTGAATAAATAAACAAGAGAACACCAAGGTACAAGTTTTAGGCCAGAGAAGTCCCCATTATAATTTAAGGTAAGCCACAGAGCCAGCTGATGTGAAAGGCTATAATGTGGTACTACTATAAAACAAACATGTGGCTTCTGCTTACCATAAGGGATCAGGTCTGCCACCTTGCAAGATCAGGGAAAAAGAGGTTGAACAAAATGAAAACAAAAGACTCGGAAGGTCCCCAATACCATCAGTTGGTTGATAGTGACAAATATCCCCAGCCCTATAACAAACAGAAGCCAGACTGAAAAGTCTTCTTCTTTTATCTCATAATACCCAAAACTTCTTCCACTCTGACAACTGGGTACTTCAAACTGAGGAAGGCTAGAAATGGGAACTTAGAGACTGACTTGTCACGTGTCCAGACATCACTGGAAAGCAGAACAAAACTGCCAAGAACTGTGACAGGATCACCTACCGCCCACCGCTGAGAAGAAACATTTCTTGCATGACAAAGAATACATTATCTGGCAGCCACTGAATCCGACTAAGAAACACAAGCGATAACTTTTCCTTAAAACAAACCAAAAAAAGCATGAGATGCTATGATGAAAAATCAAAGGGATTGGCTATTCATTTATTACATCCTTGGTAAATACTCAAAGTACAAAATTTCACATTGTGAGCCAGAACAGCAAGCCTGAAACATAACTAGCTCTCATTTCAGTCCTTTTTTTCTTCAACCAAAGGCACTGGAGGAAGAGCAAAGGCTCATCTGAACTGATCATCCCACAGTCCTCCTGTCTCTCTCACCTGGACGGAGCTCGTCATGGTGCTCAGAGCAAACACCGTGGCACAGTCTTTGATGGTCGACTGGCTATCGAAGGCACCCTGAGTATCCATTAGCAGCACGGCCACCTAGGAATGTAAAAGTTTAAAATGCTAAGTAAAAATTTAAAATACTAGTAAGTAGAATACTAACTAAAAAAAAATCAAACATAAAATAACAAATGCCAAAATCAGTAATTACGTCAAGAAAAGTGCTCTAAATTAAATATCTCAGTTTTGACATAATAATCCATATACAGGGTAGGGAAAAAAAGTAGGTTTCCAGACAAGGTTATGCACAACAGAGTTGATCTTGTATTATTATTTAATTATTGTATTATTTTCCATATGAACAGCTGTAAACCTACTTTTGTCCCACACTTCATGTTAACATTATCAGACGTTAATAGTTTTGTGTTGTTTTGACCTGTAATACTAGAAAATAACTCAAGAAAGAATACAGAAGAAACACAAAGTAAAAAGAGTAAGCAGATTGTTACTTTTGTTCCATTAGGTCTGTAATAGTTTTGTGTTGTTTTGACCTGTAATACTAGAAAATAACTCAAGAAAGAATACAGAAGAAACACATAGTAAAAAGAGTAAGTAGATTGTTACTTTTGTTCCATTAGGTCTGTCGATCACAAACACCTCATTCCAGACTTGTATGCCAGTTGTTTCTCTTTCACAACCACCTCGCCATGTAAAGCCAGTCAATGGTTCGTTGTTTCCACCAATCCAATTTTGAGATTCCTGTTGAAGTCAAGCATAAATGCAAAATAAAGCACAAATCATTAAGAACCAAAAAGAAATGTAAGAAGTCACCCATTCTTCATTTCCCCAGCTGAGGAAGGTAACCCAACCAGAGTAAGACACATGGGACCACCACACAAGCAGCTCCAGAGCAAAGTCGAGTCTCATCTGAGGGTCTGAGAGGTGGTCCCCCACCTGAACCTTCTCACCTCTGCTCCCATTTTCACTCTCTCGGCATCTAGATGAGTGAGGTCGCAACCACTTCTACCCATTTTGGAGAGACTTCCTATGTTTAGAAATCATAAAAAATAGCTACTATTTCAACATTTCTTATACAGATAAGCAAAACTATGTTCCAGACAGAATGAGTGTCAAAAATAGTACTGCTCTCTGAGAATAGCTTATACTAAAATGTTTTCACACTGCCTTTTCTCTTTAAGAAAATAGCAACTTTAAAAATAACGCAAGACTTGTTTGGAACCTGATTCAAACAATCCAACTGTAAAAGGTTTTTTCCAAATCCTAAAGAGAATCTGAAACCAGAGTGGGTATTATTTTAGATGGTTTTAAACCAGGATAAGGCTGATTGCTCGATGTGATAATGGTATTATGGTTGTGTTAATAATAATAATAATAATAATAATAGAGCCTTTATCTGTTAAATACGCAAGTATTTATGGTGAAAGGATATGCATGCCATTTGCCTTAAAGTGTTACGACAAAAATAAAATAAAAAAGAATAAAAGAGCAGGTTGGATAACGAATGAAAGAAGACCAGTAAAGCATTGACAGGTATACTGGGGTTCACCATACGTATACTCTAATTTATGGTATTAAAATTACCCATAATAAAATGTTTTGACTAAAACCACAGGCTAAACTGCCACAATTAAATATTATGAAATCATTTAAAAGTTAATATATCATAAGGTAACTGATCTAGAAAATTAAATCTGGAACATAATGAGTAACTTGGACAAATATCAATATCCCTATACTTTAGTATACTTTAAGCCTGCACACCCTTTACTCAGAGCATCCCAAAGGAACAATCCCTTTATTTCATTAATACACTTGGTGAGCCTAGACACACAGTCCCGAACAGATAACAAAGCTCAAATTAGGGGTGGAGAAAAGATGCCAACGTAGGCTCAGTGAGGGATAAAGCAATTTATGAAAAGCAGATGGGGGGGGTGTTAAACAGACCATCACCTAAAGTGAAGATCAGCTGTAACCCTCAAATCAATCACCTCCAATCGTTTTAGTCCACAAAATTCCCGACCGCAGGTTACCAATCCTATCAAGTACCAATGTCTTGGACACTCCCCTTCACTTTTCAGTATCTTCAACATAAGGCCCTCATCTCTCTCTCGGTCATAAGGCTGACACAAGGCACGAATCCATTCACTCACACTATATATACTGCTCTATGGACTTGTGCTTCATAGACACCCCTCGCAGAGATTAAGAGATTAACAGTACCACCTAGAAAGGCCCAACAGTGGTCCTGCCCCCAAATTATAATTTAGATTCTCCAAATAGGCCCTTCCATTCTTTCCTTCCCATACTCAATTTTATCAACAAGGAATGTAATCATGCCACTGTCTGCTAGAAAGTCATCTATGGCTCCCCATTACCTACAGGACCATCTAGAGATGTTTCATATACTTCACCTTCAATTTACTTGTCGCTCCTCTGCCTGTTACTCCCTATTAGATGTCCCTAACACCCATACCCACACACCCACACCTTCTTGTGTCTACCACACTAAAAAAGTCACCATTCCCCCATATATATGGGGTCTGGAAAGAGTTCAGCCATTGTTAATATAATGAGAACGATGTGCAACACATCAGTGTAACTTGGCAGCCACAAGACTGGACTGTATGTGAATAATGACAACTTCACTGTACTAGTCAGTTGAGGGCAGTAGACACCATTGAGTGAGCATGTGTACTGTGTGGCCACTGCATTCAAAATGACTGAGCTAGTACAACAATGAATCTGCATCCAATTTTATGTTAAGCTTGAACATTCTTCCACGAAAACTATTTGGATGATTCAGAAGCCACAGCTGTGGGCAACTGGTGATTGGCAGTTTCATAATGACAGTGCATCACGTCTCGTGTAGTTTTTTGGTGAAACATCAAATCACCCAGGTGACTCAGCCCCACTACAGCCCAGATTTGGTGCCCTGTGACTTCTGACTTTTCCCAAAACTAAAATCACCTTAGAAAGGAAACAGATTTCAGACCGTCAATGAGATTCAGGAAAATAAGATGGAGCAACTAATGGAGACTGGGAGAACTGTGTGAGGTCCCAAGGTGGCTCCGTTGAAAGTGACTGAGCCTGTGTACAATGTTTCTGTCCTGTGTACAATGTTTCTCGTATCTTCTTCAATAAATGCCTTTTTCATAGCATGTGGCTGGATACTTTCTGGACAGACCTTGTACGTCGTTTAGCGTATCAATACCTGTATCTTTGTTCTACCTGTTCTTTGCCTACACTGAGCCAATGGTCAAGAAAACTCCCACTTTTCTGGACTCTGAAATCACATCACTGACGCTGCAGGCAGTTATCTTCACATGGCTTTGCACGGCAGTTCTCAGAGAGTCTGGCCCGCGGGCACTGCCACCTCCACCCCGTCTGCCGAAGGGGCCCCACCGCAGCACCGTGCCCTGTCCTGGGCTCCCCGGGTGGCGTCTCGCCCCCAACCATGTCCGAGTGGCGTTTAATGAACTGATTACTTTTAAAAGGCCCAACCTACAGAAGTCATTTTTAAAAATCTATCCTTAGACAAATTTACTTTTACTTTATTTATTTACCTTGCTTCTCTATCTCCTTTTAAGTTCTATGAAGTTGTTTTCTCCATTCTGGGTTTTCTTTTTTTATTTTCAAGAATATAGAACAGTGCTTGGCTTTCAGCAGACACTCAAAATTTATTTTTTTCAATAAATAAGCACTTCTAAAACTTTTACTATGAAGCTTCAAAGGTATTCCCTTTTTAGCACAGGCAAGAGATATGGGGGTGGGAAATGATTCTTTTTATTATTCCTAGAAATAATACAATTACATAAACAAGAGAGTAAAAATAAAATTTTTAAAGTACAGATGACTAAAATCATAGGCTAGCATGTTTGTTAACATTAACCTCTCCAAATTGGTATCTTATTTTTTAAACATCTACTGACTATATATCATCTCTTCTTAGTTTGCCATTTCCTTAGTAATGGAAATGTTTAAATAACATTAAATTTATCAGTCAATAAAAGGACAAAAAGATAAACTTGAGAATGTAACTAATCGAAATTAGTAAGTTTTGGTATGTCAAAAAATTAAGTCTGCTTTTTCTAATATATCTAATACTGACTTTCATAAAATACATTCATATCCATTCAACACATGCACTGAAGCCCTACCATCTGCCAGCCACTGTTCTAGGTCCTAAGGATATAGCAGTGACCAAGAACAGTGGTGCCCTCAAAGAGCATTCTAGTGAAGTCTAGAAGCAGCCTCACTGTAGCAGACACTGTCTGCTATATTAATTTTCTAAAAGCAAACCTAGAACTTGAAAAACAGTAATCCGGTGCCATTTACTACTGGGAAGACCCAAAAAAGCCTTCAAATTTGAAATTCCAAAAATAACTTCATTCCTCCAGTAAAAGAAAAAGGAAAAAAGAAGATTCTTACAAAAATAAATCTCAATTTCAAAAAGCAATCTGAAAACACCTGTACTTTAAATGTAGCCAAATCCTGTAGTATAAGCTTCCCAATGTAATATAAGTTAGCAACAATGAAGAATCCCTACCTACTCTAAATAATAAACAAATTTATCTCACCACAGAAAAGATAATATTCCCTAGCAACAAAGTAAAACAACAGCTAGGTAAACTTTAAAAGACAGAGCTGGTGGTCCAGTCAGGTCTCCATGTATCAAAGCATAAAGACCTCCCTGCTTTGCAGGCCTACCAACCCCAAGACGGGAAGGCTGGAAGAATAAAGGCCCATCCAGAAGCTGTAAAAACTCATCACAGATAAAAGGAAGAGACAAGAAGTAGGAAACAGAAGACCCAGTAACATGATAATAAAAGGAGATCCCCACAACAACACAGCTGAAACTCGTATCCTGTGTAAAATCAGAACCTAATGCAGTAGACAGACTAACACTCAAAACCCAAATTCGTGAACAGAATGAGGAATGAGTGGTAGAAACACATTCTGATCACCAAGCATCATTCAGTGTTTTCATCTGAGTATGTAAATACTCTCTACAGCCCTACCACCGTGAACTTGCTCAATCTATCTGAATACGTAAATACTCTCTCTACAAGTCCCTGAACACATTAAGAAACATTAGACTCTTAAAAACAGTTTAAAATTGTCTAACATCTTACCCATCCCCCTGTCCAACTCCTCCCTTCTGGGGCTGGGCAAAGAGATGATATTATGTGTAACCTAACTCACAACAGACACAGGACAACTCTATAAACTTAGGTACAAACTAACGAAGAATAATTTTTTTAAAGAATGTTCTAGTTAAAAGGTGTCCTTGACCTCAAAGACATTAGGCTAAATGAAATAAGCCAGACACAACAAATATTGTATGATTCTACTTATATGAAGTGCCTAGAGTAGTCAAACATATAGATACAGAAAGTAGGGAACAAAAACATAGTAGCTGACAGTAACCAGAAGGGAGGTGGGAGGGGATAATGGAGTGGGGAGGGTTTTCAGAAACATCTATAAAGGACACATGGACAAAACCAAAAGGGGTTAGGATCGATGGCTGGGGTTAGGGGAGGGGAGTGGAGACAAATGTACTTGAACAACAATTTTAAAAAGTTTAAAAAAAAACCACTGTAGTTGATTTAACATCTCTCACAGTTTCAAATACACAGTTTGTTGATGTATGAATCCATAGACTGGACATGACCAAGAAAGTGAACTTGGAAGATATGTCAATAAAACTTCCCAAAATGAAATGCATAGGGAAGAAAAAAGAAGAATGATGGAATAGACCATCCAAAAGGATAAATAGCAAAAAATCTACACCAGGCATATCACAGTCTAACTGCAACATAACAAAGACAAAAAGAAAATTCTGAAAAAATCCAGAGACAAAAATACTTTGCCTACAGAGGAACAAGAATATGAATTACTTTGGACTGCTCATCTGAAACTATACAAACAGGACAAGAATGGAGTAAAATAGTTAAAATGCTGAAAGAAAACAGTCACCAACCTAAAATTCTGTATCCAGTGAAGTTACCCTACAAAAATAAAGAGGAAATAAAAACTTCCTCAGACAAAAACTGAGGGAGCTTATCACCAGTACACCTGCCTTACAAGAAATGTTAAAAAGTTCTTCAAAGACAAGGAAAATAATATAGGTCAGAAACTCAGACAAACATAAAGAAAGTGTCAGAGAAGGACTAGAAAGTAAAAATAAAATCTTTTGTTCTTTATATTCTTAATGGAGCTAACAGACAACTGTGTGTCCAAAATACTAATAGCAACAATGAATTGGGTGATTGCGGTATACAGATGTGATAAAGCAATGTGATAAAGGACAGGAGGGATGCACTGTCATAAGGTACCTGCACTAGTATTTTAGAATAGCATTATTCTAAAGTAAGCTTAGATTAGTTGTAAATGTATACCACAAACTCCAGGTAACCAGTAAAAAAAAATTTAAGAAGTATAATGGTTATCCTAAGAGACAAGAGAAAATGGAATCATAAAATGTTCAATTAAAACTATAAAAGGTGCCCTGACTGGTGTAACTTAGGGGATTGAGGGTCATCCCACAAACTGAAAGGTCACCAGTTCAATTCCCAATCACAGCACACACCTGGGTTGCAGGCCATGTCCCTAGCTAGGGGCGTGCAAGAGGAAACCAACTGATGCTTGCCTCACACATCAGTGTTTCCCTCCCTCTCTCTCTCCCTCTCTTCCCCTCTCTCTAAAAATAAATAAACGAAATCTTAAAAAAATAAAACCTTTTTTAAAAACTATAAAAGCCAAAAAGAGAGAATAAGATATAAGATTAAAAAAACAAAGAACAAGTGCAACAAACAAAAATAGTTGCAAACATAAAAGATACTAATCCAAGTATATCAATAATCACTTTAGATGTCCATGATCTAAATAAACCAATTAAAAAACAGAAACTGCCACATGGATTAAAAAAAGGCCCAACTATTTCTTGTCTACAAAAAACCCACTTGAAATACAGACACAGGTAGGTTAAAAGTAAAGAAATTGAGGACAATATACTGTGCAATCACTAGTCAAACAAAAGCTAGAGCAGCTACATGAATTTTACACAAAGCTGACTTCAAAACAAAGAAATGATCAGGAGAAAGAGTTGTATTACATATAATATAGCAGTCAATTCTTTAAGAAAACTCAACAAGCCTTGACATGTAAGCCAACTAACAACTCAGCATCAATCTATATGAGGCAAACACTGAACTGCGAGGAGACACGGACAAACCCACTATTATACTACTTGGAGACTTCAACACTCCTCAGTCAGTAACTGACAGATCCAACAGGCAAAAAATCAGTAAAGATACAGTTGAATGGAACTATTTAGCTGAAATTACAGGACACTTCATCCAATAACAGAATATACATTCCTCTTGAACTCACACAGAACATTCACCAAAATACATCACATTCTGAGCCCTAAGACAAATTTAAAGAAATAGTTATAATGGAATTAAACTAGAAACCAATAATATCTGATCTCGAAATAATCTGTGGCTGGAAAACCCCAAAGTAACTAGAGTTTTTATAATACCCTTTTAAATAACATATGAGTCAAAGAAGTCTCAGTAGAAAATTTTTAATATTTTGAAATTTAAAAAAATACAACTTATGAAAATGTATGAAATGCATAAAAAGCAGTGCTTAGAGGAGATTTTATAACACTGGGTTCACAGACTGGGAAAGATGAAAGATCTAAAACTAATCATCCAAATTACGACTTAGGAAACTAAGAGCAATATAACCTAAACAAGCAGAATACAAGTAGAGCAGAAATCAATAAAATGGAAAAGATAACAGGGTACCAATAGGATAAAATAATCAAAAAAACCAAAAGCTGGCCCTTTTAAAAGATCAATAAAATTGATTTGAGACAGAGAAAAGACAAACTAATAATATCAAATCACAGAGTCGTCAAAACTACTAATTCATGGATGTCAAAAAGATAATAAAGAATTCCATTGTTATTCTCCTTTCTTTTGAGTAAAAGCACATCCCAGCACTAAATCAGTACAGGCATGTTATCCCCAAAATCAGACACTGTTTAGTGCAATTTTCAATTAAGAGAGTAAGATTACTTATATCAGGAATTCTATATAGAAAGCTTCTGAATAAAAATTAATAAAGATATTTCAACTTAGAATCCACTACCTAGGTATGTAACCTCACTCAGATCCCCATAACCTTTCCTGCAATGACGTCAGTGACTTCCCTAGCAAAAGGGGGAATTCTATTAGCCAGAGACTGCAAATACATAACACATGTGTGAGCCGCTACTCTACCTCTGAACAGCCCCTACTAATTGATCAGAGATGGAATCGAAGTGGCACTTGAGGTGGTACTTATCTGTCATTGCCATACAAGTGATCTAAGTAAGCCTCCTTCCCCTTCTAACATTCTACTGTCTATGACCTCCTTGAAATCAAATGCATTTGCAGTGAACACCTCAGACAGAGATCGATATAATATATACAAACTAACTTGAGCTGGAACCACAAAATACAGGAATTCTTTATCAACTTTAAATGTACAGTGTTCTTTTATTAGAATACACCATGATTTATATACATTTCTCTATTTCAGATGTGAAACTCTGGGGGAAAAAATCAAGTCTAAATGGGAAAACTTTAAAATACTGTATCTTTCTCAATTTCTGATAAATGTAAATAGCGTTAATATGAACTACATTCTGATTCCCAGGCATATCTGAACATGCCTGAAGAGACCCCTATGGAAAGAACAATCTGAAAAGCAGATGCACACCCAACTACAGATTTACATAGAACTCATACAGGTAAGCACCCTGACAATTGTTTAGACAACTACATAATTCTGTCTGTGTTACTTTTAGCATCTACATGTGCTTCTAAATGTCCAACACCCCCTGAAAAGCCCTTCCCACTAAATGCTCTGTTCCAATTCCCTCTTTATTCCTATCCAACTCACATTCCTTCAGTCCAACTTTCAAGTGTTATAAAATAAACATTCTAATTCAAGTAAAAAAATTTTTGCTTTTTTTCTGGGAAAAAGTCGGAGGTTGGGGAGGTGTTTGGAGGGAAGTAACAATTCTCTGGTACCATCAAAAAGTGAAAATGTATAGAGAAAGGGCTATCACTGGCCAAAATATAAAGTATGTGCTTACTGTAGGCCAATTATCGTGCTAGGGGCAGGAGATACGGTATTCAAAATAAGACCAACCCCTGACAGAGGTTAAACTAGCCAGAAAAAATAAGTAAAAAAGTTGTATCAAGCAAACAAAAAAAAGCGTGTCAACGAAACACATGATCTGTGCCTGGAGAGTTGGGAGGAGGGCATGACGCAGTCTTAGACATCGGGGAAAGCCTCCCAGGAAAAGATTAGCCAAGGGCAGAGCAACATTTGAGAAATAACATGACACACTCGAGGAACTACAAAAACCACAGACACTTTACAAACAAAGGCAAGAGAGGAAGCTAGAGCATGGAAGGCCATGGAAGCCACGGTAGGGAACTGGACTTTATCTCAAAAAGTAATAGTCACTGAAGGTGATTTAATTGAGGAGCATGGCTGTACTTTTACAAAAGCCTCTCTTGGGCTACTTCCCCTACTGCTGTAAAGATGATCAAGAGGGGAAGGTGTGAGGAAATAACAAAAAGGGAGAGTTGAACAGGACACTTCAGGGACTCTGGTGAATGAATACTCAGACATCCTAGGTTAGAGCTACCACGCCTGGAACACAGATGCTCCATCGTATGCATCAGTATGTACTATAAGCAAAAAGGAATTATGGAGATAAAGGAGAATTAAGTGATCAAACAAACATACTACTGTCATAACTTAGAAATCTTACCAAAACTATATTTTTATAAAAGTAAAAATACAGCTCTTACTGTTTATTTTTTCTATTAGTTTTTAAGTAAGATTGGTTGGTTGGTAGTTTGTTGTTTTTAACTGGGTTCAATTTAAAAGACACTATTCACCTTGTTGTACATATATCTAAGCATGAAGTCCAGGAGAAATGATTTCCCTTTACGAAAAGCTCCTGCCACGGACACCACTACTACGTTAAGATCACGAATGTGCTCCTGTAACAATATCTGCTCCAAAGCTTCTTCATCAAGCTCAAAGTTATGGTCATCTTCATGAGCAAGAACAATCTGTACTGGACATGCTTTCTTCATAACCCCATCAGAGTTTACTAGGTCATCATCTTCATAATTCTCACCTAGAATTTTAAAAAGAGAACACATTACTTGAATTCCTGCATTACAGACTTTTCTAAAGGATCACAACTAAAGCAAAATTTCAGTTACTTCCCACACCACACCACCCCCATTTTCCCCATTATAACCATTTGAAAACAGTTACAACTGATGTTCCAATACATATTGGATTTGTCATTCCCTCCATAATAGGACCAACAATACCAGTAAGATTTCCCACTACATACCAGATAAACAGCAATACTAAGTATGGCCTCTATCTCAGTTAAGCTTTTAACTTGAACAACTAGATATGAACAGCAGTTGTTCTAAAGTTGAAGTTTCTGTTCTTAAACAAAACAAAACAAAAAACCACCTAGCTAGTTTCAGAAGTAATGTAGCATGTCTGGACTTCCTCCTTGCTTCATCCCATGTAGCAACAAGTGACTCCATGGGAACTCACCCTCTCCCACATCAACATTTTTAAGAGACTCTCCCCTTAAGCCTGTCTACTAGGTGCCAATTTCCAGTCTCAGGAACACACGGAGTTCACTGCAGTAACAGTCCCTCCTCTCCCAGGAGACAGCCGGTCCACTGAGGAGTACCCAGCAGTGGGACAACACTTTATCCACAGAACCACTACGCTCAGAACAAAGATTACATACCCACGTTAATGAATTTGGAATCTCTTTACAGGAAAAAAAAAGCTAGCTTATTTGATCTGCAAAGCCTTTACCTCCACATTACAAGGCACCTTTTAACTGTACATATAACAAAATCAACACCACTTCAACATGTGCTACAAATGGTGAAAATATAAAGAACAAGAGATTTCAATGGTATACAGATTTAGCAGGGGGAACTATTTGCATGCAAAAAAAAAAGGGAAACTTTCCAGGAAATGTACAACACAGTTAAATTTCAATTTAATATAATATTAGGTGAATTCAGATAATTTCACAAAACAAATCATTTTAATATTATTTTATTAACTCAACATATCCTTTAGTCATTTTGACTCAATCAATATTTTAAATATTCATTCTTTCACAGTGTCTTTGAAATCCACTGTGTATTTTACACTCACGGAACATTTTAATTCAGTCACTAAGTGCATATTGAAAAATGAATGATCACTTAAGAGATTTTATAAAATTTACAACCAAAAGTAGCTTCACATATACAAGATGTTCCAAATATAAAGTTTTCCAAAAACAGAATCAAATGCCAAAAAAATCATTTTCATTCATATTTGCATCTATACTGACAAAACTACTTCAGTTTTTCTAAATATAAATAAAATTCAAGCTTGAGCTCTTTAGTCATGTTACCCATATTGATTTAATATGCACACATTTGACTTGGGCTATGTATCTATGCATGCATTTGTTTGCTTTTGAATTAACTATCTATTCATAATCTAGATCTCTTTAGGAGTAAAAATACTGTAAATTTCAACCCAGAAGTCCTTTTACTTCTATGGTAGCAAAGTATCAAATATTTAACAGTATTTTGCAGATAAGATAGTTTTTAAATTCAAAAAAGATATGTGCTGCTCTCATATTTAAGAGTATATTGAGATATTTTATATACAGTACATAATTTAATGCTGAGAGCTCATTGAAAAGATTAATAGTTGTCATACATTTCCTTGTATATCTTTGACTTACATCTTACAAAACATTAGGTCAAAGTTTCAATTTAACATTAGGAAGCAAACTTTTTCCCAAAGGAACAATGTGGTTCTCTCAACTGATTGCGGGTAAAGAGCTAAAACTGGCTGTAAACAGACCGCAAACAGCAAAACTGGTAAGGCCCCAAGCTACAGACTGACAAAGCCTCAAACTGAAACTGCTTTACTTTCAATAACCCTACCCTGCTTTTGTGAGCTTTATAACTGATTCCCACAATAAGGATTAAAATTCAAATTCATAACTATAAATACTATGGCCAACTCAAAACTAAGGATCATTGGCAATCAGCTGATGTGAATCATCTAGATGAAAATATGGAGTTGTTCTTAACACACATATATGTACTCTGCTCTCTATTTTTTAATAAGTTTCTTAAATTTTGGAACTTGTTTTGTTTTTATTATGATCTCAAAAAATAAGTAAACCACCATAATGTCAAATTTTTTTAGAAATAAAAAATTTGACACTCTAGAAATAAAGCATGGCATTTTAAAGGGTATGGAAGTGAGGAATAGAAGAACATGAATTATCTTCCGGGTTCAAACTATCATGTTCAACAAAGCACAGCTGTGAAGGACAAAGAAGGAAAAAGTATACATCTCTGGGTCTCTACAATTACCAGTAACTCTTGTTAAATGTGACAGGCTGATTAATGATGTGGGACAACTGGACAGAATGCACATAATCTGCAAATCCATAAAACCGAACCGAACAGGCCATTTCCTTACAGAGACACAACCGACAGTCTTCAAAATATTCAAAAATTGGATAGGTGGGCTGGCGAAGGAGTAAGTTTTTAGCTCAAAAGATGGTTTGAGAGGTTTGGGAACAGAACTGACTAGCAATGAAATCCAATGGAAAATATTAACTGCCATTACAAATGCACTGAAGAATTTTCCAATCACGTTACCTGGAAATTGTGAAGAAATTGCTATTTGAGATCAGTATCAACAAAACAAAATTTCTCAAAAAGTGAATGCATTAGTAAAGCCAAGAAAGAAAAGCAATGTAGAATTTCAGAGCAAACTTGACCTGTTAGAACTTCATACATAGTGGTTCAGCAACAAAGCACTTCCAAAACGGAAAAGCAAGGAATCGCTGAAAAAAATCTTCTCTAGCATTTACTATCACAATTTTAACACATCAATAAGAAAAATATGAACTAGATGACAATAACTCTGGATATAATCCTAAGGTCTTTAAAATAATCTACAACTCCTATGCTTGCTAAAACAAATTCTACCAGAGAAGGAGGGTATTGCAATTTGCACTTTATATCGCTTTACTTAAAGAACCTCTGAAGAGACTCTAAGAAGCCTCAGTCAATTTAGCCAATTAAGAAAAATTCTTTAAAAGGTTATATTAGTATTAAGTATATAACCATTACTAAATAATTTATTTATATCAAATATCTAGTTTATATTCCTAATACATGTTCTTAAAAGACTGTCCAATATTCTTTTCATTTATTTTCAAGAACTATCATATACAATGAAACAGATTTCCTAAATCAAATTCCCAATGAGAAATAACACACACAGGAACTAAAGACCTGTCTGACTCAAGACTGTTTACCCAGGAACCAATGAAATAGTACGTCAGGTCCTGCACAAATAGAATCCAGGTAGTCATCACTCTCCAGCAATGAGAACTTCAAAAAGGCAGCAAGGCACCATGACTGAGACTACTGGGTGAAAAAACCGATGGGATGTATCAGCAATTTTCAACCTTTTTCATCTCGTGGCATACATAAGCTAATTACTAAAATTTTACGGCACATCAAAAAATATTTTTACCAATCTGACAAAAAAATAGATATAATTTTGATTCGTTTACACCAAATAGCTACTGTGTTAGCTGTTGCCTTTTTTTTTGACAATCCAAAGGAAAAGAAGTCAGTGGCCCTGAATCAATAGTCAGGTATTACATGGTGTAAAAATTCTTGCAGTACGCCAGTGTAAAACCACTGTCTTATAAACAAATACAGGTACCTGGTTTATTCAAAAGTCACTTTGGAGCAAAAAGGTAAGTAATTACTATTATATTTTGTAAAAAACTTAAAATTATACCTGTTTTTTGTCAGATTGCCAGAAAAACCTTTTTTTTTTTTTGCTGTGCTGCAGAATTTCAGTAAACAGTGTATGTGTGCATGAAGTGAAGAAGGTTGGAAACCGCGCTGTAGCTCTAACAACTGGGAAGGAGATGTAGGAGACACGTTCACCACCCCCACAGAGTCAGGGGCAGTAAACTCCACACCACGGGAAATCCCACTGGACAAACATGAACAAAGAGATTGCACAGGGAATAAAAGATCTACAGAAAACAGACTTAAGAGGCTTATCAACTAAATGCAGTGTGTTTAAGCAAAACAACTATAAAAATTTGAAACAATCAGGGAAATATGAACTCATGATATGTGATATTAAAGAATTATTTTTCTAGTGTTATAATAGTACCATGCTATGTTTTTAACAACTTTAATCTTTTAAAAAGACAAAACATACAATCTGCTCTTTGCTTCAAAATAACACGGTAGGAAGCTGGCTATGAGAGAATAGATAAAACAAAGTCTCCATTATATTAACAATAGTTGAATCTGGGACATATGTCTACATGGTTTCCTGTACATATTTGAAAATTTCTATAATAGAAGGTTTTTTAAGTAGTGAATCTAATAAAGACTTTATTAGGAGATGAAGCAGACCCAAATACAAAAAGATAAGTGACACAGGCCAGTGCTATTAGAAACGAGAGAAAGCCTCTCAAATATTCTAAAACACTTTCTCAACCTTTCTTCTACTTCCACAGCATTTAGGTTTTTGTGAGGGGCAGAAGGGTGCCACGGAGGATCCAAGAAATATACAAGACAAGTGATGGTAAAATCTGTGCCTATCCCACCGTTCACCTCAATTCACTTCCCCAGAAGTAGCTCTAAATACACATTAATTCTTGCCTCCTAATGTCTGCAAGCGAGATGTTAGAGCTTCTCTAAGAAGCTCATTAGTAGTTGGCTAAAAGAAGGCACTCACTTTTTCGCAGGGAAAACTGAAAAGAATCAGGTTTAAAAATCAAATCCATTAAATATCCTATAAAGACAACTTGAGGCCCAAGTGGCTTCACTGGTGATTCCACCAAACACTTCTAAGGAAGAAATTATACCAATTCCACACAGACTCTTACAGACAAAAGAAGCAGGGAACATTCCCCAACTTATTTTATGAAGCTAGTATTATTATCCTAATACCAAAACCAGACAAAGACATTACAAGAAAACAAAACTACAGATCAATATCCCCCATGATGGACATGAAAATCATTAGTCAAAATCC